TTTTGGTGATTCTACTTACACGTCCTTACTTCGATAACATTTTCTAAAACATTTACGTGACTGAATGATTATGAGTACAAAATGACAATCCAAAATATGCCTTGAATTTAAAGTTGCGCGCATTTCCCTTGTCTCCAGATATCATCACGCAATCTTGCCAAAAATCAGTATTGATGCACTTCAAATGTATTGGGGAAAATCATGTGAACAATGATAACATCTTGAATTTTAGCCCAGCAAACAAAAAGGGGAAAAATGAGGTGTCCGTAAATTGGGCTAAAAGTAGGTGAAGGGTTGCCTATTGAGGGCGACTTGAACAAGTTCAAGAAAATTCCCAAAATTATTGATAAGAACAAGTTTTGATGTTGATATAAATATTGTAAGCAACACTAATCTTTTATTCTGGAGGATTTCCTTGAAATTGTTCAAGTCCCCCACGTTAGACAACCCTTCGCCTAATTTTTAGCCCAATTTACGGGCACCTCATTTTCCCCCTATTTTCTTGTTTGGCATTAATATCATGATGTTATCATTTTGGCGTGATTTCCGATTTATTTTTGTTAGGGTAACTGTGCCAGTAAGTAACTTTGTGAATTTAAAGCTCATCAATACTGACGTTTGGCGAGACTACTTGATGATATCTGGACTGAGGAAAAATATGCACGCAACTTTAGGGTATAATACTAGCCATGTACTGTTAAAAACGTACTGTTAAACATGTACTGTTAAAAAAAAACTGCATGCTCGTAAAAAAGGACAGTGATAAAAAATGCATGTCTGTGCATCAACATTTCCTCAAATGGGTTACAGCTGAAACATTATAATATTTTTTGTAATTGCTTACTTAGTGACAAATGTTTGGACATATAACATGTTATTACGGTTAGTTATGTACAGGTTGTCTGGCTATCTTTAATTGATGCAAGTTAAAACATATAAGAAACTAATAACCTAACTAAAAAAAACTCTTGTGGCATAAAATATGAACCTTTCTCTCTGCCTTAAAACAAAAGCTTGTCTTTCTTTAGATCTTCTTACAGAATCCATACAGATTTTTTTCTTGCATATCTGTGACCCTTTTACAAAAGTGTTTATGTATATTTATAGGTGATTCAACCAGCCTCACTCAACACGAGTTGATGATTGGTCTTGAAAGAGAAAGATTCAAAGTAAGTTACATGCAGCACAGCAATCGAAATAAACAGTTGACAGATAGTAAAACCTCAGCTGGAAATTAATGTTTGTTATATTGTTTTAAATATATATAAATGCTAAGTTGCAACCGAGGCTTTATGTTCACTATAACTATACTTTTGTTATAACAGAGTTTGTAATAAAAAAAGAGTCAACTGTTCGGCTTTTATATAAACAAGAAGGATACTCTTTCCATACCTGCAGTGGACATCGATGTGTTTACCTGCTATATGTAGCTAAAATCGCGATAATACCAGAGTACACATTAACCGGTGAATAACAAGGAAAAGTTAATTCGGTGTCTGCAGATGTCTAGTTATCCTCTATTTTTCAGCTGCAAGCTTCAGAATTAGTCAAAAATAACTGGATAATTTTCTCGAGGTCACGGGTCTTCAACATTTGACCTTTTAATTTGCCCTAGTTTTTAGCAAGGTAAGAATATGTTATGACGAATATCAGTGAAAAGCATACTAGAATAATTAAGAATACAAAGTCTTCAGGATGTTTAGCACGGGGTGTGTGGCACAAATACAGAAGTCCAGAATTTGAGCCACTTATGAATATACAGTCGTTCAGGCTTTTATAGAAGCAGGGTATGGATTGAAAGTATAAGGAGATAATGTTGAGTGAGAAAAAAAACAGGGAGCAATAATGAAGAAATACTCATGTAATCCTTTGCCGGTACTGTGACTGTGAAGCACGGTGGACTACATGGGGGATAGTGCGTTAGCCCTCCATCGGTATGAATATAAATACACACAATGTTATAAAGTATATCGAACAACAACTTTTAGGTGATACATCCACTTTTCTATAGTACGGTGTTATTTAGTACAAGGAACATGGCAAAAATCGTTTGGCAGGTACAGATATAAATATTTTCCCCCAAAGCTGGCACTTCGCTCATTGAATGTAACAATGATAACCCGCAAACCAAGTTAATTTGCAGCTCAGTTTGTATAGGTTTATTTGCTACTTCTTCTTCTTTTCTTTTTTTGCTTGATGACCAGGAAAAATTCCAGCCTAGCCTTGCACACCAACCTCAAGCATCATCAGCACGTTAGTAATATTATCATGTTAAGAATTATGTTATTATTCACATTTAATTTAAATTAGAGTGTGTAGACCCCCCAATGGGACCACGTCTCAACCACAAACGTAGCAGCACTGTTTCCAAAAAAACACCCACAATGACCACAACTGCTGTTGTAAATGTACTCGTGGAATCACACAGTTTGGCATTTCGGGACATAAAGCAGTATGATGTTTTCTAATTACTCAACAATGACTTCTTTATACGATAGCTTCACAAACCCAGACAACTGAAACAAAACCACATGGCACAACGAAAAAGTCATTCATTCACGACGAAGTCATTAAAAAGGCTGTATCTACGCAGAGGGAAATGAAAAACATGTATCGCTCTACAGATCTTGAACCTACTCTTAACATCTGGGACTTTGCCGGCCAAGATTTGTACTACACAACGCACCAGGTACGCAACATTTGTTTTTGTTGAATTTTTACATGTAATTCTGTGCTGCATGTTGGTGCATCAGCGATGGCACCTAAAAATTATACAACAAAAACGCCTTCAATAAAAGTAGCAAATTGTACTGCATTGATATAACGAGTAGCTGTGTGTTAGTCTTATCACTGTAAAATCTTATACTGCCTGAATCCTTCTCATGCGTTACTCAAAAGTACTAAAGAATGCATGGTGTGGGCGATATTGAATAGCCTTGTTCTTTATACCCCGAAACAGTCCATTTCAATTTCAAAATGGTCGTGGCTTTTTAGACCCCGCAATGAAATGTTTAGGAACTTAACGTTTATTTGAACTTGTTGGAAAATTGTTTTTTTTTTGTCAGTTGTATAGAACTATACAAACAAAAAAGTCTTAAACATCATATCGGCCTAGAATTACCAGATGGAGGTCTACCTTTTTAAAATTAACACTTTTTAATCTGTTTGTAGACATTTCTGTCTTCTCGGGCGGTCTACCTGGTCGTTTTCAACCTCAGCCAAGATCTTGACAAACCAGTGCAGATCCCTAATAATGAAACATGTAGCGATGTAAGAACAATTTATTTTGTATCAAAATTGATATAAAAACTAGTCTAAAGATCATTCAGACATTCACGGTTGCAGAACCACACAACGAACGTCTGATATATCCAAGCATACAAATTTCATGCGATCCCGCGCGCCAGCCAACCGGAGTCGACAAAATGTGTGTCGAGAAAGACTTTGCCTTGTAACGCTATTTTGCCTACCTGTGTGTGTTACTTGATGTGTTGATACTTTGAGAAAACATACTATATTCGGAACTGAATGATTTCCTGCCAATTAAGTTGTCATGTTGATGCTAATTAAGAACAAGTACATTGTTCCCACAAAATTTAAAGTTCAACAAAATTTTAAATGTGTTCACAATATTTAAAATGTACATGCAATTGCAGAATAGGCATAATTATAATTAGGCAGTTTCACACATTCTGAAAATACCTTGCAATGATATCACTATATATGTATAAGTTCGTATGGCATGAAAAGTCAGTGAATGTTGTGGTTATACATGTACATGTTTGTATGACCAATAGACCAGCAGATTACGTGCAATGTCCTTAAAACAAATAGCAACCTGGAAAATTGTAGAATATAAATTTAGTGCAATACTCACCGGTCTATTCCTCCATGCTCGAACCACATGCATTCCCAATCCGATATCCCGGATCCTCCAGAATTCAAAAAGACTTGTAATTTGCAGTAGTGCTATAATATTCACCCTTAATTGCCAGCAATGCATACTTTTTGCTGGTTCATGACTTGGCTTGTGAGGATGGGACACACTGTACCTGCTTTGTTGAGGTCGCTAATCACGTTCTGGAATTGAGTATTAACTACAACGTTCCTGTCCGTAACTGTGTCTCAGATAACATCTTTGTATTATTTCACCAGGAAGGCGGAGGTTCTGTTACATATAGGACAACCCCTATTCAGTATCTGGATTTCTGGATGCAGTCAATTTACACATACACCAAGAAAAACTACTCACAAAAGGAATTGAAGCAGAATTCCCCACCAATATTCATAGTTGGTACACACAGAAACAGTGTTGGTGGGGATGATATGCCAGAAGATCAACGTAAATCCTTGGTGAGTCCGACCTTTCTGTATAGTTTATGTCGGATAAGGGAATGAGCAATTGTGGTTATGCACAAATTCAAGTGTGTGTGTGGTACTGGTGAGCTTTTTTAAAATTTGATTTAACAAGGAGTGCCTACATATATTGTGTGTCTTAACGGTACAATAATCATATTTTACACTTATTGTTCATGTCAAAAGACTTCCGCTTGGCCAGTGTGCCAATGAGGAGGTGTTAAATATTCTAATGTGGAGAATTATTTCAGAGTATAACCATCTCGTCTTCTGACCTTAGCTCACCTGCATTTTGTTTAAGAGTAGATAAAGAAAATATTTGACCGGATTCACAACGAGATCAAGGACAAGCCGTACTACACACATGTGGTTTCTAAATTCTACTCAATAGAGAACTCTCTAGAAGACAACAAAAAGGTATTAAAATATTTATGCTGAAAAATAGGAAATAGAATAATTATAAAATAAAATAGTTTGTGTAAAGAGAATGATCAGATATTTGACTTAACTGGACTCAAACTCAAACCTGTATCTAACCTTGTGAGGCCCTACCTCTGTTGAAATTATCAGGCATTATTTTGTTACGTCGGATAAATGCAACTAATTACTATAAGTTCCACCCCCTTAGAAAGGGAGATATCAAGATGTTAAGGGATTTAAAGGGATAGTTAGACTCAGTTGGCATCATTCCCACTACAGTGAGACTAATTTAGTGTTGTATGTAGTGGTCAATTGAATATCTCTTTATGTAAATGTCATATGAAAATCTGAGATGAAAACAAGCTGTTCATATTGCAACGAGATTTGAGTCCAGTAAAAAGTGTCAAATAAGCACCTCCTCATTATTTTATTATTATATCCTGAAACAGATTCAAAAATTACGCAAGCACATAGAGGATGTAGCAGTAGAAGAGCCTTACATGGGAGAGAGAATCCCTTTGAACTGGCTGACGTTTGATGATCAGAAGGAAAAGATAAGTGGTGGAAAACCTGTTATGACGCTGAAACAGGTACTATTTGATGTTGATTTCGTACAGATAATGTACCTCTTTATCATGTGTACTGAACTCCTCAGAAGTTTCCTGTGTTTAAATGCAATTAACATGCATGCTTGGGAAATGGATCCGTTTAGTTTCGTGTGTAATTACTGGTGGCACCAAGTAAACCAGATGTAGTTAATGTGGCTGACTCAACATGAGCCTTTCCTGTACTATTAAACAGCTGGTCGGTTGGAACTTAGTATTCAGTAGTCTGTCTGGACAGTAGTATTTCTAGCTCCCTCAACATCGGGAAAGGTGAACATCAGCCAACATTGCATGTGAAAGACCAAGTAAGGTTTAAACAAAAACTTTGAAAGCAAATATGAGCAGTCATCATGCTAGGCACGCTTCAAACGTCGAACTTCTGCCGCCTCTGGTTTAATTATTTGCAGTCGACAAAAAAGCGGCAGATGTTTGGCAGTTGTTTCAAACATCGATTCGGTCGTAATTCGGTCGTTCAAGATGGTGGACCAGGACAGGAGTCATATGGGTGCAGACCAGTAAATATATTTTAATATATACCTCAGTAGGAATTACGCGTGTGTGGGTGTTTGAGAAACCCGTCAAATTAAAGCGCCTTTCATCATCTTTCATTTTCCGTTATTTTTTTGTTTGGGTAATCCGATTTTGGGAGAACATTCTATCCAAAGATGATCATTCCTAAAAGTAGTCCTTCTGCCCACCGCCATTTAAAAATGGCAGCACTCCATTGCAAATTAGAGCAAAATAGGGCCCAATTTCATCCAAATTTCCCGGAAATACATGCTCGCAGTCCTGTGCAAAGGTTCAACCCATCTTGTTTTTAAACCCTCGAGTTCATGGCCCACAAAATGCTATAAAAGCGAAAAAACAAGGGCATACAAATCGTGCCGGCGCTGGCAATTGTTGGCCTTTTCAAATTCTTTTTGTTATAGATGAAGGCAGCCTCTCCTTCAACAATCATATTTCATTGCAGGTGTTATTAACAAAGCGACTTTTTATTGTTTGTTCGTTAATCCTGCTGCTCCTCCTTTCAAATAAAAGAAGTCACAACATCCCGATCATGTCTGTGTTTAGGCAGTAATACCTGCTGGCTGGCTATGATGCTTAATACGAATTCGGAAAAGAGATTCAAAAAAGGCGTTTTGGTATCCAGGGCAACCATTGAAACATATCATTGGGCGCCGCCTTGTTGTTTTAAAACGCCGAAACGTAAACAGCCGGCAGGCGCGCAATCGCATTTAGAACAGTACCACTGCCATTCTGATTTGGGACGTGCCAATTGAAGTAGACATGGCAGAAATTCGACGTTTGAATCCTTGCCACTTTTCTGCCGCTGAGTGCGAAAAGACCTGTCGAAGTTTCGACAGACAGTCGTCTGTTTCTTCAAAAGTCGACCTGCTGCCGGGTCTGATTTAAACTATGGGTAATAATTTGAATACTCACTTTGTTCTGAAGATCCGAATTTATTCAATGGAAACACGAAACGTGGATTTCTGCAGCACATTCAAGCGTGTGTGATGAATAATTTATTTCAAGATATGCGATGATGGGTAAATTCAGAAGAGAGTGACAGACAAAAAAGTAATTCAGTGTTTTCATTTTCATGCTAGGTAATGAAGGGCATTGAGATGGAAGATGAACCTGAACTGCTGACGATGCTAAAGTTCTATCACGATCTTGGCCACATAATATACTTTGGAGGGGATGGTGCCAAGAAAAGCAAGACGCTGAAAGATGTTGTCATTCTGGATCCCCATTGGCTGATCAATGCCTTCAAGAAGATCCTCATTGTTGAACCTCGAAAAGAACAGGTAAGTCTATTATGCATTAGAAGATCTTGGGCCTGCATCCCAAGTCAACTTTTTTTTACGGGGGACCACAAAGTCAACTTAACTCCCCTCCGCCTGCCCCACTCCCATCAATCAAGTTATTTTATCTTCTAGTCGTACCGGGCAACCACTTGGTTTTGACTTTTCTATTGTTTAACTGCAAGGTTGGGTAATGTACCGTCGAGATGTTCGCCGGCTTGAGAAATTACATAATAATTATGAGCAAGCTGCGCCTCATCCTGAAGATACGAGGGCAAGACCGGATCACTAATACCGAGGTCCTTGAAAGAGCATCTTGCTCCAGTGCAGAGGCATACATCATCAAACAGCAATGGCAAATATCATAAAACTGAAAAATAACAGTTGAAGAGCTTAGGCGGGCAGGCTAAATACCCCTTGTTCATTTACCGGGAGACGGTATTGTTATTGAGGGAGTGTGGGACCCTTCAAGCCAAAGCGGGAGACGTCCACGTATGAACGCACACGGTACGGCCGTGCATGGTGATAGTTTGTAGTGGGACTTGTACGTGGACAGGCAGACAAAAGATCACTTACAGGATAAGTGATCCTTTGTTGGATGTTTACTGCCCTTCTTAAATCCCTGCCAGTTCACTTCAGTGGCCAGTTGGTTTTTTTTTTCTTTATTACAAAACAAACTGTTACTATATGGGCATATTTTCATTTCTTTCCGCTTTTTCTCATTAGGCTTTGACGTAAAATTGAACAAGTGTCTACAGGGTGAGAAGAATAACATTCGCTTTTTCTTTGCCTTTTTAAACTTGTTGATGAGAAAGAATATTTTAATCAATGAAAGATTTGGTTTACTGGTCTTTTGTCGTTCTTTCATTTTTGTTTCGTCTTTTTGGGGGGTTTATTTTCAATCATTTGGCTGCTTGAGAGTTGAAAGTAAGGAGTCAAAGTTATATATAGGGTTAAGTTGAAAATAATATAAGGGGAGAGGGAGTTTTCTTTTTATTTAATTCTTTATTTCATTAGCACAGGAATATCTCTTTTGTGAACATGTGTGGCTATAAAAAAAAAACCGTTTGTTTTTTTTTTAGTTTTGAGTCTGAGTTTCTACCTCAGTTCTCAACGATTGGTGTTAACATTTTTTTATACATGGGCATACTATGAAACATTTCAGTTCACTAGTATTTCATTTTGAAGTTAATTTTATCTTGCAGATTTTATCTTACATCTCCCCTCGGCCGTTTCCGCACGAACTTCGTAATTTGGATCCGTTCATTGGATTCATCCTTTCATTTTTTTCCTTTCGTTTTTATTCCCTCCCTTTTCGTACGTTCCCTTTAGCTAAGGTGTATATCAAAATTCATGTAAAGCTAAAAAAAAACTTAAAAAAAAAAACAAGTACTGTAATTTATTGCTAGCGAGTGAAGAACTTTTTTTGCATCGTGGCTTTCTTGGTTTTCGACTTGCAGTCCTTCCAAAAACACCTGAGCGAAAAGCAGCAGAGCATTGTGTCAATAGGCCGTTGACGACACTAATTACACGTAAGGGGCTTTTTTTTACGGAGCTAGTGAGAACCAATATCTCTGTAGAAAAAGTGCTCACCATGAAGTGTGGTATCATTGATACGAAATTTCCATTCCATAGAACCTGAATAAAAGGTCTTCATGTACATTACATGCTATCAATGCTGTAGTAGTCACCAATTACAGTGAACAATAGCTCTGTGCAGAGGATTAGTGAGGCCCCTGGTCTTTGCGGTCAGTTAGTGGAGGCCCTCATCACTGCTGGATATAAAACCGCAGGATTCATTGTTATTAGAAATAATGGTGATTTGTATCGGGAGCCGGCAGTGCCAACCATTGGACGGTTTGTAGAAACAGGTCACCCGCATTCTATGCAAGCGGGAGCCGATTAAAGAGGGGCTCAATTGAAAGCGGCGCCCGGTAAATGACTGGGGGTATTTAGCCTGTCCGCCTTAGTCTGAAAAGAAGATCATAGATGCTATTTGCGCTCTGAGGGCAAAGTGTCTGCTGCGGCTACAGAGGTCGGTGTTACACATGTAGCCCATGAAGGAAGATCTTTGCATGCGACTACCCTTGTGTTCAGTCTTTCCTCCAGGTAAACCAGTCTTCCACGTCAGCCTCCCAAGTGTCGAGGCCCGTGTCACAGGCTTTCATTTCCCCCTTGCACATGTCCTTGAATCAAAGGGCTGGGTGTCACACGTGGTGGTTGCCAGTGGCAAGCTTTGCAACCGTCATCCATTCATCGAATTCACCAGGGAAAGTGACCCTGCATCAGCAAGGAAAATATGCTTCATATTCCAAGATATAAGGACCAGGATAGCTCAGTGCGGTATTCGATCCTGCCAGCTAGGTGATGCCCAGTATGCATTTGAGGCACTGTTTATGGAAGGTCCACGTCTCGCTTCTGTAGAGCACATGCTAAGGATACATGTCTGGAATCGAGACCTAGATTCTCCCAAGTGTTGGGGCCAAGTATACAGGCTTTCAAATAATGTCCCTATTTCCCTGCCGAATCTGTTCAACATTATGTCTAGCTCTGTGTCCAACTTAAGGACATACAGACTAACTATGTTAGCAAATCCGGAAGCTGTGGCGGGGCACATTGACAGCAAGCGTACCGATCCACCTTTCGGCGGTTCTAAAGACCCACAGAATGTGTAGTTCGCTTCCGGATCAACAGCATAAAGTCCTAACATTCCAGCTTACAAATCTAAGTAGGCTACTTTGACTTTTGTCTTCTTTCTATCTTGTCTGCCTGGTGCAGAGTTTCTGTCCACTTGTTATGCCGCAATAACAAGTTCCAAGCTCCCATTGTAGCATGCACACATTGGCAGGTCAGCACATTATTTGCCAAGGGCTGCGCTGCCCCATTTGAAATGTTCGGTAACTGGTCAGTAGAATGCGAAGATGCGGAAACAACCACTCACTACACAATACGTTGGGCTTATGCCTCGGAACTTGAACCTCTTGTGCGTTTCCACACTAGTAAGTGAGGTTGGAGTGACCTCACCAGGTCGCTGGCCTGGGTGGAGAGTATAGAGAAACTGGGATGCCGAATACATTATTTCTGTCTCGTCTTTCCTAGTGGGTTCCAAAGAAGTGCAAGCCATCAGCTTGGCTGCAGGAGCTACCGGAATGGTGTTAAGTGATGTGAACACTTGTTCACATTTATACTCCAAATTGTACGAAAGCCCATTAGCGCCACTGCAAGTATATGTTAGTACGGATTCTTAATTCGTTATTACGGATTATTTAATTCGTTATCACGGATTATTAATTCGTTATTACGGATTATTTAATTCGTTATTACGGATTATTTAATTCGTTAATACGGATTATTTAATTCGTTATTACGGATTATTTCATTCGTTATTACGGATAATTAATTCGTGAATTCGGATTATTAATTCGTTATTAACGAATTAATAATCCGTAATAACGAATTAATTATTACGGATTATTAATTCGTTATTACGGATTATTTAATTCGTTAATACGGATTATTTAATTCGTTATTACGGATTATTTAATTCGTTATTACGGATTAATAATCCGTAATAACGAATTAATTATTACGGATTATTAATTCGTTATTACGGATTATTTAATTCGTTAATACGGATTATTTAATTCGTTATTGCGGATTATTTAATTCGTTATTACGGATTATTTAATTCGTTATTACGGATTATTAATTCGTTAATTCGGATTATTAATTCGTTATTACGGATTATTTAATTCGTTATTACGGATTCTTAATTCGTTATTACGGATTATTAATTCGTTATTACGGATTATTAATTCGTTATTACGGATTATTAATTCGTTATTACGGATTATTTAATTCGTTATTACGGATGATTAATTTGTAATTACTGATTATTAATTCGTTAATACGGATTATTAATTCGTTATTACGGATTATTAATTCGTTAATTCGGATTATTAATTCGTTAACGTTCTGAGGCATTACTCGGCAAGTATGGCAGAGGAGTGCGAGCGTTTCATTCGGTGCCGGTGTAAAGCAAACGTTGTATGCAAACATAGGCCCCTGGTCACGTGCTCTCCACGTGTGAGAACATCAGACTTACGAATTAACGAATTAAATAATCCGTAATAACGAATTAATAATCCGTTATAACGAATTAGCAATCCTTAATAACGAATTAATATCCCGTAATAACGAATTAAGTAATCTGCAACACATATACTTGCAGTGGCGCTAATGGGCTTTCGTAAAATTGTGTCACTTATACTCCACAATTTCTGTTGCGGTTGACTACTCTAGTCTTGAATTGACTCGTCTGGGGCATGAACAGTGGGACTCTTTACCCTTAGCTGGGGATACACATGGTAGACCGCCGACTAAACTCTGTTTGTCTCGAAATGGGAGTCAGAGTTGTTCTTCTCGAGGCAGACTGCTGACCTAGGCTAATTAAGTTCTGTCTACCCAAATTCGTGGCCAGAGTTCCTTCAATACAAGTCTTAAAAGCTCCACTTGCCTGGTTCATCCTTATTTTATTGCAGGGGAATATTGTCAGCACGAAAAGCTAGATGGTTTGACTTGGTTAGGAAATAGTAAGGAAATGCTAACGTTGAAAAGCCGTGCTTTAAATTGGGATGGAGCTGCTCAATTCCTCATTATACCATGGCAAATCGTAACCCAATTAACCCCAAACTTCTAAACAGGTTTTGTATACTTGGGGTATGGGTAAAGACAGTTAGTTGGTATTAGTTTGGTGTATTTTTTTTCTTAAAAGATCATGGTTTTTGATGGGAGAGAAATTACAAAAGGATCTTGGGATTATAACTTGTGTTTTACGTGAAATTTGGGATAGCCTCGTCTTTATTAGACAGTTGTTGTCTCAACATTCCATAATATTCCATTGTTTCATGGATGTTTCATTGTAATTCAAGCTTCTAATGGACAAGGCTGTATTTTAATACCTTCAAAAGTGGTCATGCCCCAGTGGAACTTTTGCATTCGTTTGATGCACATGCTCTTCAGCGGTGTCATAACTAAACATATTGTACTGCTAGAATATGTGCACTTCATCACTATTTAAATCATGGGCATTTAGGTTATTTTTACTTGACCATAATTGCCAGACTTGTATTTGAGTCTCCACAACCTCGAGTCCGAGTGCGAGTCATGCAGGTCGAGTCCAAGTCCGAGTCACAAGTCACGAAGGTCGAGTTACAAGTCCGAGTCACTTGTCACCTTTACATTTTGAGGGAATGCTGAAACATCACATTGTAAGGGTTACAATTGTGTTCACAGCTTTTCTCTAATTTAATTAAAGACCTGAATATTACAACTGGAAACGATAATCTGGTACCAAACACTGTCGAGCTTGCATTTTTGCAATATCAAGTGTGGACGATGGGATACATGTTGCGATACATTGATTTCCCACATTCATATATCGAAAACAAGCCAACGTATGTACAGTATTTATATGCGTTTCCTCTGCACTACACAGACTGTATCGCTTGCTCAGGAGAGGACCGTCTTGAAAAAAATTATAATTATATTGAAAAAATAGTGATTTGTGGTAACTTTGGCCGAGTCCCGAGTCAAGCAGGTCTAGTCCGAGTCCAAGTCTGAGTCCGCAGGGTCGAATCTGAGTCCGAGTCATTTGTCATAGTGACTCGAATCTGAGTCCGAGTCACAGAAAATGGGACTCGAGTCGGACTCGAGTCCAAGTCCGGGGCACGAGTAATACCATTCTGATAATTGCTCAGTTAGAAATAAGTATTTTGGTATCTGCGTCCCATATTAGGCAATATTATGAGTACATGACACACACACACAAACATTATCCCTCATAAAAGGGGTGATGTTTGTATATGCACACATTTATGAGCGACATCTGAATCGGCTTCTTCATCAAGGTTGAACTTAACCCGGGGTTAACCCAACGGCTGACCAATGTCGAGTCTCAGTTTTTGAAAGCCTAGTTGAACTGTGTGTCGTTTCATACTTGTTTGGCATGCCATGAATTGAGTGTATCTTACCCTTGTGAAGTTCATCCCAAGTTTCGCACGTACGTTTCAATTGTTTTGCAACAGGGTAAATGTCAAGGGCTGCCGCTTCTGTATTTTTGCTCGATTCAGAATCTGTTCATGTTCTGTTGCGCCTAATCAAATACCAAATTAAGAAAACTCCTAATTCCAATGAAGAAGCAAGTGTCAAGGACATGTTCAATGCAGTGAACAAATTGAGTGAAAATATCTGCCTGTGACCCCAAAAGTAGATATAACGCCACGAAGTTCAACCCAGGGGAATTTGGCTCTGTTTGTTTCACACTTTCAACTATTCAGTGGTAAGAAATGTTCACCCGTGTCTAGGATTTAACCAATCTGGCGGTTGACATGGGTTGGAAGCGATTTTAAAACATTCGATTGTGAAACATAACTTGTTTTAACCCAGCCTTACCTTGGCATCAATCCTGAGTTCTTCCAGGTAGAAAATGTCTTGTGAATTCATTAAAACCCTAAATTACCAATGAGTACAACATCTTAATGAACAAAATCATTGTTTTGTTCCCAATTGAGACCGTAAAGTATCGCCAGTCTTGGAATCTACTGAAAGACGAAGGAATATTGGAGGACTTGCTTATTGACCTCGTGTGGCAAAGCATCAGTGAGCACAAACAAGCCCTGCTGGATCTGATGGACAAGTTTGACCTTCTCTGTAAGCGTGTTGATGAGGTATGTTTTGTAGGCATTCACATTTCAAATCTAGAATGTAACGGGTACACGCAGAACTGACTACAGCTAGTGGATCCAGTAAATAAACAAGTTCAGAACGGCAGTTTAACACACGTTTCTATGTATGGGAGTTGATTCAGCCATTACCAGCCATATTAGTATAGTCTCTCAGCTCTCTTACTTTCTTATGGGAGCCAGGTGTTGACAAGGGGTCATTACGTAAGGTACGGTACATCTAGACTTTCTTCCGACATAACCTTTGAACATAATTATATCTGGTTGCAGTGTTGGAGTGCTATTACATGGTACTCGTACTCGAGTACTACTCGAGTACTTTTTTGTCGTACTCGTACTCGAATGTCAGAGTACTCGTTCTTGAAATAACGGTACTCGCACTCGGGCAGCAAAGTACTCGTACTCGACATGTCGAAATTGTACTCGATCCTCAAAGTATACTTGTACTTGATTAGCAGTACTCGGGGGGAAATGGTACAGCTTGACATGCCACGGCCTTAATTTATCAATACTTTCAGTTTAAAATTGTTGATTGGCTTGCAGAGAAATTGAAGTTTTCTATTTTTGCTCTGTGCACGTCCGGACAAAAACATTTAACACTTAGCCGTGAGTGGGTCTGTATATTGGTCTGACTGGGCCTGGGCCAATTACGCACAATAAACCATTTGCCGTAAGGCCGTATTCGGAAATACAGCTACCCGTACCCGGTAGTACAAGTACTCGTACTCGTACTTGTATTCGGAGACCTGTACTTGTACTCGGAGGTGTAAGTACTCGTACTCGGCAACCTAGGTACTCGGCAGTACTCTGTACTCGGAAAGAAAGTACTCGACTACAACACTGTCTGGTCGAAAATGGTTGGACTGATCCATTGGACCACAGCTTACCAAGGTAAATCATAATTTCAGTTCTCAATATAGACCTGCTATCAAAATGAATAGCAGGGTTCCATGACCAGCTTAGTTTGGTTATCGAACTGATATATTTCGACTAGAGAACCTAGCATATATTATCATCATACATGCACAACTTAAGTCACTAATCAATCAGTGACCTGTCCAGATTTGAAAAAGCTAAAATGGATCATATCACAATAATCTTGGAAGCAATCTTTTCGGAACCTTTTTACCGCTGAAGTTAACATGGTTATAATCATCACAAGTTGCTATATTTTGAGACGGAAAGTGCGCATAATATGTGGCTACATAAATGTGTCTCGAACCGTAACCAGGAACCACTCTTTGAAATTCAGTTATAGTCTGTAGTACTATACTGTTTCATTCGTTTTGACCATACACAGTTCAGTGCGGTCATTTACGTCTCAGCCAGTGAAAAGCTTCGCTTGTCACGCTCTTCCTGTCCACTGCCTCATTTTAATTATTTAAATTGTACACTGGTGTATTTATCAAAATCAACATAACAAATAACGACTTTTCATTCACAATGCAAACTATCCCCGTGTACATTGAGTGATGAATCTCCCTATCGAAACTAGCCTTGGTCAATGCTCTCGTCGTTATTCGTCCCGTACGCGGTCAATCGTCGTCATATATCCTCATGCGCTAGCACATGCATGTAAAAATACAGCGCGAACAGCGACCTCACGCGGCCACTATTTTTATGCAAATCAGTTGGAGACGATGTCGAGCCTTGGTTCGATCGTCCATGTGAATTTTTGGGGGTGGTGCTCATTATGTTAATAGCCTTAGCTGACCTTAAATGTCGTTTTCTTATTGGTCGATCGTTGCGTGGAAACTTGCATAGTGAAACGTGGCACCGTGAAACGTGGCACCGTACATAATCCATACACGAACACATTGTGTGTCTCTGCACACGGCACCAATGCACAAAAACTGTGGTTCCTGTCACGTCCGCAAAAGGCGGAATACGTCCGGATTTCCAAGGTGTGATTGGACACTCCACATATTAGCCCTGCCTACATTGTCTGTATTCGCATACGAGGTCGCGCGCTGGAAATCCAGCGCAAAGTAAAGAAAAACATTAGATTTGGCCGACGATTGAACCAAGGCTCGACATCGTCTCCAACTGATTTGCATAAAAAATATTGGCCGCGTGATGTCGCTGTTCGCGCTGTATTTTTACATGCATGTACATAGCGCGTGAGGATATATGCCGACGATTTGACCGCGTACGGGACGAATAACGACGAGAGCATTGACCAAGGCTATATCGAAACAAATTTACGTGTAGGCCTATGGGTGTTTTGAAAAATAAATTACAAAATACACAGGTAAGGTACTTGTGTGCAAGCTTTTGAAAGAAACAGCAAGGAGTCGTACTGCCCTTAGTGATGGATAACCCTTCGTGTTCCTCTCTGTACGTTATATAGGTTTTCCCGGCCAATTTCACCGAGTTTTTTTTTTTCAATTTAATGCCTTGCTTATTTAATTTAGATTGAAATCGAAAGATCACGCAGATCGACATTCGACAATCAAAAAGACTCATTCAATTTCACTATCCGAGCATTCTATCGTCTTTTAGCTTCGCTCGACCCTGTAAAAGATGCATTCAAATTAAAAGTATTGTGTTGTTCATTCCATTTCGTCTCAACCGGCAGCAAGGGGTTGATCAGGCATTCGTTTTCACATATTTCACATTTTGTCAAGCATGTTTTAAGACTTCCTGCATGTGACATTCTGAATTATCTCGGCGTAGATCATATCCGATTTCTTCAATCCGCAATTGCACACTTCTCTTTCTTAATTAAAGGGTCCGTGCAATGAAGTTTTCTCAAAAATGTACTTTGTGCAACTCCCTACTACTCTAAAATGTATAAAAACTACACATTTGACATCCTTGTTTGGTTTGTCTTATTGCAAAGTGCACTTCTTGAAAAAAAACATTAAAAGTTTCCATACTTTTCCGGATGACTGACTGCAGCGCGCTGTTGCTGTGATGTCATTTTAGGAAAACACTGTTCAGTTTAGGGGTTTTCTTTTAAATTATTCACCCGAAATTTGATAATTGAAAATTGTAAAAAAAAATCTATAATTTATATCAGCGGTGCGCGCACAGAGAAAACTTTTTTTTAAAGATACTATTTTCATTGTCTTTGTAATAAACACAATTTGAGCACCAAGACATGCATCCCTATATCTATTGCCCGGAAGAAAACCCGTGCCTAACAAAGACTATGTATGACAAGGCTTTCGTGGGGTACAGTCAGTGTATTCGATTAACAAGACATTTGAAACACTATGAACCAAATATAAAGGCCACCATTGGTGGGGCAGATATGGAAAATATTTGGGGGGATTGTTCACTTTGATGATAAAAGTATTGCATTTGCAGAGTATCAAAGTATGTCTTAAAAAGATATCTGGCTATAGTAGTTCTCACACTTTAAAAAATGGCTGTCATTGCTTGTTATTCTACATATATATATATTTCAGGACAAATCTGCTATGGCCCTATAGCCAAATATCTTTCCCATGACTTAGGCGGGCAGGTTAAATACCCCTGGTTCATTTACCGGGAGACGGTATTGTTATTGAGGGAGTGTGGGGCCCTTCAAGCCAAAGCGGGAGACGGTCCACGCATGAACGCACACGGTACGGCCGTGCATGGTGATAGTTTGTAGTGGGACTTGTAGGTGGACAGGCGGACAAAAGATCAATTACAGAATAAGTGATCCTTTGTTGGATGTTTACTGCCCTTCTTAAATCCCTGCCAGTTCACTTCAGTGGCCAGTTGGGTTTTTTTTATTACAAAACAAACTGTGACTATATGGGAATTTTTTTCATTTGTCTTTCCGCTTTTTCTCATTGGGCTTTGACTTAAAATTGAACAAGCGTCTACAGGCTGAGAAGAATAACATCCGCTTTTTCTTTGCCTTTTTAAACACTTCGATGAGAAAGAATAATTAATCAATAAATGATTTGGTTTACTGGTCTTTTGTCGTCCTTTCATTTTTGTTTCGTCTTTTTTGGGGTTTATTTTCAATCATGTGGCCGCTTGAGAGTTGAGAGTAAGGAGTCAAAGCTATATATAGGGTTAAATTGAAATATAAGGGGAGAGGGAGTTTTCTTTTTATTTAATTCTTTATTTCATTAGCACAGGAATATCTCTTTTGTGAACATGTCTGGCTATGAAAAAACCCGTTTGGTTTTTTTTAGTTTTGAGTTTGAGTTTCTACCTCAGATCTCAACAATTGGTGTTAACATTTTTTATACATGGGCATACTATGAAACATTTCAGTTCACTAGTATTTTATTTTGAAGTTGATTTTATCTTGCAGGTTATAATAAAATGTTTTCCATATAAACGTACTATTTCTGTAGGTGCTCATTCACGTGTTTCTTAAGATATTCTCTCACGTGTTTCTTAAGAGCAATGTAGTTAATAATACAAAGTAAATCTCATTGAAAATAAAAATAGTGTAATACTTTAAACACATCTCCCCTCGGCCGTTTCCGCACGAACTTCGTAATTTGGATCCTTTCATTGGTTTCATCCTTTCATTTTTTTCCTTTCGTTTTTATTCCCTCCCTTTTCGTACGTTCTCTTTAGCTAAGGTGTATATCAAAATTCATGTATAGCTGCAAAAAATTTAAAAAAACAAAACCAAAACAAGTACTGTAATTTATTGTTAGCGAGTGAAGAACTTTTTTGCATCGTTGCTTTCTTAGTTTTCGCTTTGCAGTCCTTCCAAAAACACCTGAGCAAAAAGCAGCAGAGCATTGTGCCAATAGGCCGTCGTATTGATGACGACACTAATTACACGTGAGGGGCTTTTTTACGGAGCTAGTGAGAACCAATAGTTCTGTAGAAAAAGTGCTCACCATGAAGTGTGTGCCAAAATGACTGTGTGCCAAATTCCATGCTTTTATCATGAAATGAACAATCCCATCACCTATCTGCCGCACTAAGTAATCTTTGACAGTCAGATGAAAGTGAGGCACGAAATTGGTGCTGTCTTGGGAAATTCGGCTCCATCTGAAGTCATTGATCATGCATATCCAGGTATGCGTACATCAGACGGACATGTCCTGCCATAAATTCTCGTGTAACAGCAAAATAATAAACCTGTCTGCCCGTTGCCACCTAGGTAAAAACATGTAGTCGACCTCTTTCTGAAATATTCAGTATATTTCTGATAATTGACATTTGAAGAGGAATTTACTTTATTTTTGGACATCCTGTATAATTTTTTTCGTATTTGGCCTCAGGAGGAAGAGCACAGCAGCCCTGCTTCATCCATGGCCAGACAGCCTTGCCTTGCAAAAGCATCTTATTATGTGCCTTCAATGTTGCGGCAGCGGACATCACGTCCAATTCAACTTGAGACAATTGAGAAGAACTCAAGTGTATTCTTTGTGGACTTCAAAGAATTCCTCCCTGGTAAATTAGGGTTGGCATGCCTTAAAACAGTAACATTTATGTTGGTGTCACGGTGTAAAACAGAACAATGTCACTGATTTTGACGGCACCAAAGGTAGTTCACAAACAATGGAGGCACACCCTTTTCGTGTATGTCTGCTAAATACATGTAGCATGTTTCTGTTGTCTTTCATATTGATATGCCTCATAAGTTATCTAAATTGATTAAAGTTCCACCTTTGTTTAAAATAAGCCAGAACATTTTTTCCCTTTCATTTTTATGTTCATAAAGAGACAATGTAGCGGGATTTGAACCTGCAAATTCTGAATATGCCGTTCCGGTGCTCCACCAACTGATGAGCTATCCCTCTCTCATCCTGTAAGTTCCACTTTATTTGTGGTTTATCTGAAGAAAAAAGTGTGTTTTTTGTTTGTCCAGATGGATTGTACCATCGGCTGGTTGTGCGAGCTTTGCGATGGTCTCAAGACTTGGGTGGAAGAAAGCCTGACTTGCTCTACGATCGAGCAAGTTTCTATGTGGATGAACATCATCAGTTCGCCCTGCAAATGGTGCACCAACCAAAGCGTGCATACATCAAAGTAAGTAAACGAATTGTTTAAGAAGCACCAACTGTTACATAGAATTGGCTGTTTCAAGCTCTTTATATGGACTTCGTGCACACAAGTACCCTCTCAACTGTTATATTAGGAGAGTTGTTCAGATCACTGGGGGATACCATACGCGCATAACCAGTATTCTAGCATGGTGTATATCTCCCACTGGGGTTCCTAAAAACGTGTTCTGTTGAAGCACGGGGTTAATAAGCCTATAGAGGTAACGATCAGCGGCGGCAGAACGGGTTTGAAACTGGGGGGGGGGGGGGGGGCATCACCAAAAAGGGGCACTTGCTCAACATTTTTTGGGGGCACATCCGTGCTGAAAAGGTCGACACGTACTTTTCACCGGACACTTGGCATCCGTAAAATCAAATAGTGTGTGTGTGTGTGTGGGGGGGGGGGGGGGGGGCACATAATGCATAGTTAGCGCCCCTATATGTTGGAAGATCGTAACAGGCCCCCCCCGGGGGGGCTGGTACGATCACACTATTTAGTATATCTACCGCTGACTTTTGGGGGGTATTACTTCTAAGCTGTCGAGGGGATATGGGAAAAAATATCTCTCCTTCAGCAAACTTATTCCGTAAGACTGATTTTAACTTGCATGAACAACCTATAAGTTATATGTCGTATGTACCACTAATATATTGAAAAGGTACGACATATGTCGACAGGGTACGACTAATATATCGACAGGGTACGACATATACATGTCCACAGGGTATGACATATCAAACATATGACATAATGTCGACAGGTATAGGTACGACATATATGTCGTGCGTATGTCGAGTCGACAGGGTACGATATATGTCGCATACGACAAAGTCATATATAAGTACGACTCCTTATCTCGTGTGTACAAAATAGGAATTTTAACTAGTATGTTCGACTTGTTTGTCGATTATGTCGTATGTAAATTGTGAGAACGACTTGTATCTCGTACGATGTTATACCTACGACTTACATGTCGTACATATGTCGTAGGTACGACATACAATTCGTACGTACGCGTTAAAATACATATGTCGTACGTATGAGATGTATGTTGCACATGATACGAATTCAGGGAGAATTTTTTTCACCGTGTACCTGACAGTTTCGTCTATTTCCATCCCAAAGTCAATATAGCTCGTTTCTTGCAGTTAATTCGTACGGGTGCTACATGACTTATTGATACGAGTTAACCTGCATTCGATTAATTGGGTACGATTTGACCTGGATCCGAGTTGACCTGTTCCCTACATTCGCTGTCTGCAGAATAACACGGGCAGGTAGCGGCGTGATAATGAACGCTGTTGCACCGACAACAAACGTCGGCGGACTGTCTTGAACTGTCCAATTCGCAATACATTGGAAATAGTATCATTTTGAACAAGTATTCACTCATATAGCGGCATATTTCATTTGTTTGTAATAAAACTGGAGAAATCAGGGAGAAATGGTTTAATATGGGATTGAACATACATGTACTTGGTGTATACAGAAATTTGCGGAATCATGAATTTGTGTACGGGCTTTGATTGGATATCGTGTAACATATGCGCATCAGAAATTCTCGGCCGATTTCGGTCGAAACTATAAAGAAACACATAAGGAATTCGCCACGGTTGCGTTAAGGCTATCTTCCGCCTCGACTTACCGTACGGCTGTTCGCGGAAGTGTGTGTGGCGCGTATGTACATGCACACAAAGCACACGCAAGGGTCGTTGGGGCTAACGGTATAGTACAACTCGTGGTTGTGTCGCGGCGCGCGTGGTGTGCGGTAGCGGGAACAAGCTCGTATGGGAACATGCTGATAGCCTTGGTCAAGGCTATGAACGAGGGGGCACATTTATGGCCGCAAAAGGGGCACTTGGGAAAATCGGGGGGTTACGCCGCCCCTGGTAACCATCCCTCCTGAAATGGAAAATGTCTTTACATTAACCCCCCCCCTCCCAAAAAAACCCCATAAAGTACATGTATTTATTTTGTTTGTAAAACTCTGAGAAAAGTGTACGCCCTTCTTATCATTATATCATTATGAAAAATTCACATGCTTTTTCCTCATCAGTATTTACTATCGTTATATTTTAATGGCAATGACCTTCTCTGTGTTTAAAGGTGAGTGTCATCAGGGCGGAAGTTATTCCGCCCCCACAATCCGTCAAGAAACCTTCAGCTGATGTAACACGTAAGGTATGTTTAGTAAAGCCATTACCTTGTATCCCCCAAAAATTGTAAGGAACAGTCTTAAGTTAAAAACAAATATCATGTCCCATCGTCGGTTTGATAACGTTGTAAAGTTTTGTTGTGGGTAATGGTGACTTTTTTCATCCCTCCAGTCTCTGCTTAAAATAAAGTTTACAATTGAAAATTAAAAATAACTTCAGGATACATTTAGCCTTGAAGGAAACTAAACCATTTGCAGTGTTTCCTGCAGTGCAGGGGGCATATTCAGAAAAGTGTATTTATTTTTTGCTTTTCTGTGGGAAGGAGGACCATGTGTGAAGAATGTTGAAAACATTGCATTAGAAATGTCATTTTCCCATTGTGATAAGAATGTGCTTGCTTGAGGTTTGTTCTGTGTTGAGTGCATCTAGGTTTAAGTTTGTAAAAACAAAATGGAGGGCATACATCCAAGTCATCACTTCACGTATTATTTGTGTCTCTCTCCTTTTTTTACAAAGTGGAATTTGAGTGCGGCACCTAAATAGAAATTTAGTTGTTTCGCAACAGGTTAAAGACTTTGTTGAAGAGAATCTGCTGAACTTGAAAACCATGTGGATTGAGCGAGTCGACTACTGCATTAGTGTGCAGTGTCCTGATAAGAAACACAAGGTTATCCACTTCCTACCACTGGATGAATGCATGGTAAACTCAGCAGTTGACTGCTACTTTGAGTATTCTCGAGTATCCATCAAAACAGATGAAATCCAAGCCATGTTCAAGCAGAAAAGCCCCGAGGAAGAAGCTTCCGCTCGTGGTAAGTGAAGGCAGTAGCGTAAATCCTTGTCGTGGGATGGGGATGACAAAAAACCTCACATTGTCCGACAATGAATATTCAAAATGGGGGGAGGACAGTACTTGGCATGACACTAAGGGAGCAAACTCGCGCACTAACGTCCCATAACCTTATTTCAAAACAGTGCAGGGTTTGTACTGTTTGTTTTCCGTTTTTTCGAACCACATACGTAATAAGTTTGGACATGTGGAAAATCGGATATCTATCGTTCTCTCCAAAAACCAAATCTTGGGGGACGATCAAATTGCCACACATACAGTGTTCGCATCTTATTCTGATGCACGTTTTTTTTTATTTGTGCTGATCCAATTATTTCTGTGATTATAAAGTATATGGGGTGTCGCTTTTGTAAATTTGCTGATCATCTTAGACAGACATGAAACCTTTTAGAGATAGAAACTCTTACACAAGGGGGGCTACCTTTATATACTATCGGTAACCCGTATTTTGTTGTATTTTTTCTCTTTATGCTATGTGGTTGCTTTCTTCAGTGCATTGTACTGTGTTGAGATATTCTTAATCAATTTATTTCAATTTTAACTGAAATAGCTAATTGATTGAGTAAATTCTTGCAATGGTCAACTTTGTTTTGTTGTTTTGCCTGCACAGAAGAGAGACAGCCCATGAGCGATATCTTTTTCAGAGAGATAGCAAACGACATCGGTAGAGAGTGGAAGCGATTGGCCACAAACCTTCATTTAAAACATGTAGCAGTTTTCAAGATTGAGATAGAGCATAGAGAATCGGTTGATGAGCAAATATTCCAAATGCTGGTACTGTGGAGGCAAAAGCGTGGAAATAAAGTGAACGAGATGCGCAAAGAGCTCATCGATGCACTGATAAAAGTGGACAGACGTGACCTAGCAGATAAAGTGCGGGATTACTGAACGGAAATTTAACTTGTTTTGGCCAAAATTATCTGCATCTTGTCTTCTCAGTCAGAAACAAGCCTGACGTCAAGTCGTTTGAAGCAGATCGTTACAAGCATAAAGTGTAGCTTTTACCCATGGGCGTCGCGAGGGGGGGGCAAGGGGGGCACTTGCCCCCCCCCCCCCCCCCCCCTGGAAAAGCAAAAAAAAAAAAAAAAAAAAAAAAGGAAGAAAAAAAAAAGGAAAAAAAAAAAAGAAAAAGAGGCGCGACGACAAAGTGGTGTAAATTTAATGAGTTGGGGGGGGGGGCAAAATGTCCCTGCCCCCTCTTAAACTGATAAATCGAGAATGTGTTGAGAAATACACGCATTTTTGGGCAAAATTTTTTTTTGCCCCCCTCTAGAAAAAATCCTGGCGACGCCCATGCTTTTACCTATTCCATTTTATGATGACATTCGGCGTGTGGGAATTTGGTTTAGGGTTGAAGGGTTACGTCGTGTAATAGGAGTTTTTTGTGATTTTTAGTCGAAGGATCCCAATCTGTAGGTGTGAGTTTGTTTCTGCTCTCAATAGGGGACGTTGAACAATAGAGGACAATAGGGTCCCCATTTCATGAAGGTTCCCAATTTGGCGATGTATACCAAACATATGGGAGGTCGTCCTAAAGTACCAACAAAAGAGGGACAATAGGGGTCCCCGATTGCAGACAAATACATACTTTTCTGCGTTTACATGAGTGTGGTTTTTCGCATAATATAGGTTTTCCCGGTCAAATTCCTATAACGTTCATTCACTTCTGAAAATCGGTCATTTATTTTCGTCTGAATTTGAGAATCACTCTGAACACGCGTTCTAATTTTCGCTACCAGACCTTTCGATTCCATTTCAGTTCAATCGATAAGTGATGGAGCAGCACCTTTCACTTATGCTCATTCAGATTCGTTTACAAGACTTCCTTTTCGCTTTTAGATGGCGATTTAAAACATTGGCCATTCTATTTCACTTTAAGTTAAATGTTATGTGACGCAATCTGCTATTTTGAATGACAAAAATGTACTTTTGATTGCACATTTACGAAATTGTGTTCCAGAACTGTGCGCAAAAATGTATGCTTGCGTAAATGAATGCACAGTTAACGTAATTGGCCGTCTGTTTCTCAAAACCGAATGCACAGATAATGAAAACGATTGAACTTTCGTTGAATTGAAATGGGATTGAAGACGTGCATTCATTTTTAGACAAAACTGAATGACCGGTTTTCAGAAGTGAATGAACATTTTTGGAAATTGCCCGGGAAAAACCTATATTTCTACGAGAGTCACTTGATTAATTTTCGATTTTTATGTATTTCAATGTGGCTATTTTAGATTAACTTTTATACTTCTTTATGGTGATGAGAGTCTTTTTCTTACCCACAATCATGCATTTACTGTTTTGCTGTCTTTAACTATGGTTATTTCTTTGGCAAAAGTACTGTTTTATGCATCTGTACTTTGGTGTTCATTTTAGTATTGTCTTCTATGTATGTGTTATCTGTGTATTTGATATTAGAGTAATAATATAGGTTTTCCCGGCCAATTTCCTGAAATGTTCATTCACTTCTGAATATCGGTCATTCGTTTTCGGCTGAACTTGAATTGCGCATTCGGTTTTTAGAAACAGAAGGCTAATAACGTTATACCTGTGCATTCATTTACGCATTGCAACTGAGCATTCCTTTTCGCGCAGAGTTCCGGAATACAGTTTCGTTAATGTACAATCAAAAACACATTTTTTTTTCATTCAAAATATCAGATTACATCACAGAATATTAAACTAAAAGTGAAATAGAATAGTCAATGTTTGAAATCGCCCTTTAAAAGCGGGAAAGAAGTCTTGTAAACGAATCTGATTGAACGTAATAAACAAAAGTTGCTGCTCAATCACTTAATTGATTGAACTGAAATGAAATTGAATGCTCTGGTTATAGCGAAAATGAAACGCGGGTTCAAAGCGATTATCAAATTCAAACGAAAATGAATGGCCGATTTTCAGAAGTGAATGAAAATTTTAGGAAATTGGCCGGGAAAACCTGTATTTGCTGTTGATGTTTTTTTGATGTCCGGTTGCATCGTGTATTTTTCTTTTACGATTAAGTTGCGTACTACAGAAATGTCCCATGTAATTCCCATGGGAAATTTTCCCATGGGACCCCATAGGAATTGCATGGTGAATTGGACACCATGTAGCATGGGATTTTTCCCATGGGAGTTTTCCCATTGGCTTTTTCCATGGGAAATTTTGTATGGGCTTTTTCCCATGTATGGTTTCCTTTCATTTCTCAAAATAATTATTGCTCCATGGTATTTTTCAATAACAACTTCCTATACAATTTAACCCTGTGTGTTAAGTGCTATTCACCAAATAGGTAAAGCACATCACGGAACTCCGATGGGGGTTGTTCCACGTTATACGAGTGGCTTGTGCACTCTATGACTAAAGTCCACATTATTGCTCCCATACCACTTGTCAAGTTGTACCATATTATCACAGTGTTCCCAATTTATTTTCTCATAAATGTTTCTAACCATAATAATAAATGGATCAATATTATCCAAAGTTTGAATGACATATTGTCCACATAAAAAAATACTGTATGCATCATTTAACTTCACTTATCAACAGAAACATTCAAAAATGTGCAATTACAACACTCGTTATTGTAAGAGATTCTCACAAAAATGTCCCATGGTGGTCCCATGGTGTCCCATGGTGTCCCATGGTGTTCCCATGATGTTCCCATGGTGTCCCATGGTGTTTATCCCATTGTGTTCAATTGGTGAACATCCACAGGAGTTTCCCATGGTCAGCTTAACAAACAGAATTCTTGATAACCTCTGTGGCCACACGGGAAATATTTTTAATTGAATTCAAATTTACAGCTAGGCGAATAAGTAATTAAGTCAAAGAAAGGTTTGCCTATAACTTGGGAGTGCAATTGGGTCTATGATGGTTTTTCATGGCACATGCATGTTCTCCAGTATGCAGTGTCCTCGTGCTGCCTTTTAAATCTCCATGGTGTTCTCATTGTATCCATAATTTATATCACCCACATTATGGTGTTCCCATGGCGTCCGAATCCTCATGGTGTACCCATGTGTCTAAAATCCCCATATCCTCATGGTGTACCCATGTGTCTAAAATCCCCATGATGTTCCCATGGTGTCCAGTAAATCCCCATGGTGTTCCCATGGTGACATACAATCCCAATGGTGTTCCCATGGTGTCCATACAATCCCCATGGTGTTCCCATGGTGTCCATCAAATCGCCATGGGGTTCCCATGGTGTTCCCATGGTGTCCATAAATTCCCATGATGTTCCCATGGTGTTCATTAATTCCACATGGTGTTCCCATGATGTCCATAAAATCCCCATGGTGTTCCCATGGTGTCCGTAAAATCCCCATGGTGTTCCCATGGAGCTCATAAAATCCCCATGGTGTTCCCATGGAGCTCGTAAAATCCCCATGGTGTTCCCATGTTGCCCATGCAATCTCCATGGTGTTCCCATGGGTTTCCCATGATGATCATTTTAACTTACATGGTGTTCTTGATGACCCCATGGGTTTCCCATGGGGTCCCATGGGAATCCCATGGGACCCCATGGGAATCCCATGGGATGCTCATGGGACATTTCTGTAAGCTAGTATGTTTATTTTTGTTAACTTTGGCATTGCTGGGCATCAGTGGTAAACGGTAGTATGCACTCAGTACGACCTTATTAAACCCAGGGTAAAAAAAATTAAATCAATCAATCAATAAAAATACTCGTGAGTTTTGTCTTTTAGGCTAGTTTTTGATGAGAGGTGAAGAGTACCAACGGTAACTTGTGAAAGGCATTTGCATTAGAGGGACATTTAATCGGATAAATTGTCAATGACAGGCTATTATAACACATAACGTCACCGACACCACGAAGTAAAACTCACGAACATACCGGTAAAAAATGGCAATCGGAGAAAACGGCATCTAAAGTTGAACGCCTTCTAGAACAACCCTTGCGTCAAAACTGCAGAGTATTTTCAGTTGGGTTTCTCGTTGTAGACACTTGATGTATTGATGTTATTAAATTTGCTGTTTTTGACCTGTTTGTGTATTAAAACAACAAGAAATAAGAGAAAAAAGATGAGTGCTAGTTCGTAAAACCAAAAAAGTTGCGGAACTGAAGAATTTCGTTTTCACGAAGTAGCACGCTTCAATGTATTACAACACTAGAAGAGTGTTACTTCGTGGAAACGGAGGTCAGCGCGCGTGCGCTCAAACAAGAAGAGTGTTACTTCGTGAAAACGTTTTTGCTGGCATTTGAGCAGAGTTCGCGCCATACATTACAATGGTAAATGGAACTTGAGTGTTACTTCGTGAAAATGAAAATTGTCACTTTCGCGCACAAGTTGCCATGGATCATTAGCGTAATTATGCAAGTAAAGCTCTTGAAGCTTTGAAACGTTGTGCAATGGTAGGCCTTGATGAATAATGGTCAAATATGTAAAAAAAAAAAAAAAATTAAAAATAAAAAAAAATAAAAAAAATAAAAAAAAACCTGAAAATCGGAAAGGTTTAACACGTGGAGTGTTACTTCGTGGTGTCGGTGACGATAAGAAAGTGGAATCATTTTTGTCTGTCATGCATATTTACCCATAATCAGTGAGGTTAAACATATGTTAAAAGGTTTTACGTCTTCCATACCACTCCTGAATAATATTGTCTCGGATTTTTGATATGTATATTTTGTAAAACATGACGTAATTTTGTTCCAAAGTGTGATTGCTACTGAAATTTGTTTTTTCCTATTCCCTTACATTTCCGCTAAAAATCACTACTGGAAAGAAATTATGGATGCATCATAAGAAACCTGGTACATACCAAAGATGCCTGGGATTGTGGATTGGGACCTCTTCATTCGTCTGTGATTATTCGTTTACCACTCTAATAACAAAATACTTGACGGTGATTTTGTAACTCAAAAATCTAACCTCAAA